GTTGACAGTACAGTTCACTACTGACTGGCTGGGTTGACAGTACAGTTCACTACTGACTGACTGGGTTGGCAGTACAGTTCACTACTGACTGGCTGGGTTGGCAGTACAGTTCACTACTGACTGACTGGGTTGGCAGTACAGTTCACTACTGACTGGCTGGGTTGGCAGTACAGTTCACTACTGACTGACTGGGTTGACAGTACAGTTCACTACTGACTGACTGGGTTGGCAGTACAGTTCACTACTGACTGACTGGGTTGGCAGTACAGTTCACTACTGTGACTGGGTTGGCAGTACAGTTCACTACTGACTGACTGGGTTGACAGTACAGTTCACTACTGACTGACTGGGTTGACAGTACAGTTCACTACTGACTGACTGGGTTGACAGTACAGTTCACTACTGACTGACTGGGTTGGCAGTACAGTTCACTACTGACTGACTGGGTTGACAGTACAGTTCACTACTGACTGACTGGGTTGACAGTACAGTTCACTACTGACTGACTGGGTTGACAGTACAGTTCACTACTGTGACTGGGTTGGCAGTACAGTTCACTACTGACTGACTGACTGGGTTGACAGTACAGTTCACTACTGACTGACTGACTGGGTTGACAGTACAGTTCACTACTGACTGACTGACTGACTGACTGGGTTGACAGTACAGTTCACTACTGACTGACTGACTGACTGGGTTGACAGTACAGTTCACTACTGACTGACTGACTGGGTTGACAGTACAGTTCACTACTGACTGACTGACTGACTGGGTTGGCAGTACAGTTCACTACTGACTGACTGACTGACTGGGTTGACAGTACAGTTCACTACTGACTGACTGACTGACTGGGTTGACAGTACAGTTCACTACTGACTGACTGACTGACTGGGTTGACAGTACAGTTCACTACTGACTGACTGACTGGGTTGACAGTACAGTTCACTACTGACTGACTGACTGGGTTGACAGTACAGTTCACTACTGACTGACTGACTGGGTTGACAGTACAGTTCACTACTGACTGACTGACTGGGTTGACAGTACAGTTCACTACTGACTGACTGACTGGGTTGACAGTACGGTTCACTACTGACTGACTGACTGGGTTGACAGTACAGTTCACTAATGACTGACTGGGGTGACAGTACAGTTCACTACTGACTGACTGGGTTGACAGTACAGTTCACTACTGACTGACTGGGTTGACAGTACAGTTCACTACTGACTGACTGGGTTGACAGTACAGTTCACTACTGTGACTGGGTTGGCAGTACAGTTCACTACTGTGACTGGGTTGACAGCACAGTTCACTACTGACTGACTGGGTTGACAGCACAGTTCACTACTGACTGACTGGGTTGACAGTACAGTTAATTACTAACTGACAGGGTTGACAGTACAGTTCACTACTGACTGACTGGGTTGACAGTACAGTTCACTACTGTGACTGGGTTGACAGTACAGTTCACTACTGTGACTGGGTTGGCAGCACAGTTCACTACTGTGACTGGGTTGACAGCACAGTTCACTACTGACTGACTGGGTTGACAGTACAGTTCACTACTGACTGACTGGGTTGACAGTACAGTTAATTACTAACTGACAGGGTTGACAGTACAGTTCACTACTGACTGACTGGGTTGACAGTACAGTTCACTACTGACTGACTGACTGGGTTGACAGTACAGTTCACTACTGACTGACTGACTGGGTTGACAGTACAGTTCACTACTGACTGACTGACTGGGTTGACAGTACAGTTCACTACTGACTGACTGACTGGGTTGACAGTACAGTTCACTACTGACTGACTGACTGGGTTGACAGTACAGTTCACTACTGACTGACTGAATGGGTTGACAGTACAGTTCACTACTGACTGACTGGGTTGACAGTACAGTTCACTACTGACTGACTGGGTTGACAGTACAGTTAATTACTAACTGACAGGGTTGACAGTACAGTTCACTACTGACTGACTGGGTTGACAGTACAGTTAATTACTAACTGACAGGGTTGACAGTGAGGTTCACTACTAACTGACAGGGTTAAGGGGCTGTGGATGTGTGAGCATGCTGCCCTGGAATGTTTGTGCATTCCACAAGAGGTGCACACTATGGGGGTGGGGGAAAGGGGGAGATCTGAGGGAGAGGTGCACTCTATGGAGGTGGGGGAAAGGGGGAGATCTGAGGGAGAGGTGCACTCTATGGGGGTGGGGGAAAGGGGGAGATCTGAGGGAGAGGTGCACTCTATGGGGGTGGGGGAAAGGGGGAGATCTGAGGGAGAGGTGCACTCTATGGGGGTGGGGGAAAGGGGGAGAGGTGCACTCTATGGGGGGGGGGAAAGGGGGAGATCTGAGGGAGAGGTGCACTACATGGGGGTGGGGGAAAGGGGGGAGGATCTGAGGGAGAGGTGCACTCTAATGGAGGTGGGGGAAAGGGGGAGATCTGAGGGAGAGGTGCACTCTATGGGGGTGGGGGAAAGGGGGAGATCTGAGGGAGAGGTGCACTCTATGGAGGTGGGGGAAAGGGGGAGATCTGAGGGAGAGGTGCACTCTATGGAGGTGGGGGAAAGGGGGAGATCTGAGGGAGAGGTGCACTCTATGGAGGTGGGGGAAAGCGGGAGATCTGAGGGAGAGGTGCACTCTATGGAGGTGGGGGAAAGGGGGAGATCTGAGGGAGAGGTGCACTCTATGGAGGTGGGGAAGGGAAAGCGGGAGACTGAGGGAGAGGTGCACTCTATGGAGGTGGGGGAAAGCGGGAGATCTGAGGGAGAGGTGCACTCTATGGAGGTGGGGGAAAGGGGGAGATCTGAGGGAGAGGTATGTCCCTATTAGCAAGCAGGCTGATAACTTCCAGGTAAAGCCACTCCCCACCCACCCAGTGCTTCCCAAGACCAGACAGAGAGAGGTCCCTCTCACAGTCTGCCTCCAGAACCAGTGTGTTTGTCTCTCTACACAGTGCATTGGAGGCACCTGTAATTAGTGCATGTTTGGCCTGTTACCCCGGATTACCGTGAGTTAGATAGGTTAGCACCCCAGCAATATCAATCTGAGGGACAGAGACTACCATCCTGTCTCTCACACACACGTCACCAGAGGCCCCCCTTTGTAAGTCAGTTATGCAGCCACTGAGTCCGGCCAAATGAAACAGCAACCCCAGGTTCCAACCCCCCCCCCCCCCATATTCCATTAGCAAAATAATTGCATCTCTTTAGAGTTCTCCATTCTAATGACAACTCAAGGCATCATCAATCCATTTCTCCCCCTGATCAAATGGTTAAAACACCCTGCTTTCTCTCCGGTGCCCAAGGTGTGAGAGGGGTTAACAGGAAAGCGAGCCATGCGCTCCCAATGAAAAGTGTTCCGCTGTGTGCAGTCAGGCGACAGCTCCAAAAAGATAGGAGCTAAAATTAAATGAGGAAAAAGTTATAAAACTGGGCAAGGTACCGGAAACCAACACCTTTTGATGAGATTCTCATCATATTGTCCAGCTATGGATAATATCACTTAGATAGCAACTCTTTCCCTCTTCTGGATATCATTAGTGTGTTAGGCTTATTTCAATTAAACTCCAGCTGTTAAGTATCTGATATCTTCTGGATTAGCATCGCCCATCGTCTGGTGAGCCCAGAACCGCTTGTTTAATTGAACTCCAGGTCCTTATGCATTATTAACAGAGGACACCCAATCCCCTCAGGGCCTGGTTCAAAACATAAAACCATGAGGATGGGCCCTGCGAGAGGGCCTGAAACCTGAGCCACCATCATATACACACACAGAGACAGCCGGACGGACCGACCAGACGAGTACAAGGCTCAATGGAGAGAAAGTGTGTGTGTGTGTTTATTTAACCAGGTAAGCCAGTGGAGAACAAGTTCTCATTTACAACTGCGACCTGGCCAAGATAAAGTAAAGCAGTGCGATAAAAACAACAACAGAGTTACATATGGGGTAAAACAATACATAAAGTCAAAAATACAACAGAAAATATATATACAGTGTGTGCAAATGTAGCAAGTTATGGAGGTAAGGCAATAAATAGGCCATAGTGCAAAATAGTTACAATTAGTATTAACACTGGAATGATAGATGTGCAAGAGATGATGTGCAAATAGAGATACTGGGGTACAAATGAGCAAAATAAATAACAATATAGGGATGAGGTAGTTGGGCGGGCTAATTTCAGATGGGCTGTGTACAGGTGCAGTGATCGGTAAGGTGCTCTGACAACTGATGCTTAAAGTTAGTGAGGGAGATAAGTGTCTCCAGCTTCAGAGAATCCTCCCATTTCCATTCCAAGATCACTTCAGGGAAGGAATTTCATTTGACAAATGTACTGTAGCCAAACCACAGACGTTCTAGAATTTACCAGAGCTATACAGCACACAAACTGAATTATTCTCTGGTTGTGGTGGTTCCTGTTCATGACCGAACCAGTTCAGATACGCAATTGATATGAAACACTTTAGAACTGCTTTAGGGCATAATTTGAAAACCACACCACGGTTGTGTTTTCCTCCATGGCAGAAACCTTGGTGATTACATACATGTCACCGTCTGTAGGACTACTTCCATTAGGAATACAATGCCCTACATGGGTCTCATTGGTTCATACTCAGAAACCCATCTTCAGCACTCGTTTTATTGGGCCAGCCAGACAGGCCTAGCAGTGTGCATGTGTAATCCGTGAGGTCATCAGCGGCCGTTACAGCGGGAAGAGGAGGATGAATCCCGTCACAGATATTCTAGCACTGCGTGGCACAGTAACGGCCGCTAATCTGACGGACGGACAAGGGCTTTGTGTAACCTTGGAGGGCATCCAGGATGACAACAGAAGGTTAAAACTCAAGCGTTTTACACTGGCTGGTTGAGTGACTACAGGGTCCCTGCGGAGTCTCAATCACTAAGGCCATCTGCTGAGGGAAAAGGCCTTTCATCCCATAGCTAAACCCACACACCCTCCAAAACGCAGCTACTGCGGGCTTATACAGTAGCTTCACTCTCCGCCTGTGGGGAAGAGCATTGAAGCAAGATAGAAGAGTTATCTTTTTACCACAGTAGTCTAGATGATTTAAATGGTATAGCAGGCCTTAAATCATGTGATTTCACCATATTTCAAAAAGAACAAATAAAAAACACTGGTTGAGAGAGTGGAGGTTCAGTCTTCGGCAAGACAGAACAGTGTACACCTAATCCGTGTATCCTGTACATGACCGCCAGCTTCAGCAGCGTCACTATCATCAGTAGCATCAGCAGCCTCACTATCATCAGTAGCACCAGCTTCAGGTCTCTTACCTGGGGCAGGGCGGTGTTAAGCTGCCTCTGCAGCGAGTCCCTCTCGTGGCTGACCTCGTGCAGCTTGCCCTGGGTCAGGCCTAGGTTCTCCTGGGTCTCCCTCAGCGTGTCCAGCAGCCGGTCGCGCTCCTCCAGCATGGACACCATCAGAGACTCAAAGTGTCCCTCCGAGTCTGAATGCAGAGGCGAGCCAGACCCCCGCCGGCCGGCCGAAGGCCCCTCCGACTCGCTGATGGTGGGCATCACCTCGCACATCATCTAGGAGAGGAGGAGGAAGAGGAGAGGGAAAGGAAGAGAGAAGGAGAGAAAATATGTCAGAGAAGGAAGTCGCCAACACATACAAGGACAACGCCTCAGGGCTCAATAGTGGCTTGATCCTTACATCAGAGTTGAATGACATCACACATTAGGATAAATTACAACTTCACTAAGTGGCGATCTCCATGGAAAAAAACGTTATGGACACTAAACATGAAACAGCAAGGTAATCATGTATTTTCTTCATGCATGCTTGACTCTGAGGTAATCAAGTTCATCCACAACCAAGACTATATAAAAACAGTCGGGGAGGGCTGGACACAACAACCTGCCAGCACCGCCATGATGGGCCGCAAGGCACTGGACCCCACACTTGCGTTAAGTTCCAAATTCTGACAGGTACTGACATTTCTGTGTGGTGCCATCTCTGGTGTTCTGTGTGACAGAGTGTTTGCAGAGTTTCTACGGAGTTTGTCTCTAGCAGACTACAAATACACAATTACACAGCCCATCAACAGAAACACGCCCCCTGGCCTAGCCAACAAGATAAAGATCAGATGCAACGTGCCGACGGCACTCTCGCCATCTCCCCATCTGCACTCAACACATCAGCACCTTGAGCTAAGCGGCTGTCTGAAGGGTACAGGCAGGCACGCGTGGAGAGAACATTCATTTGCAGTGAGATAACAGAACACAGCAGGGAAGACCTACACATGAGAAGAACCTCCTCACACAATAAGGCCTAATATTGCACTAACTGGATACTGCAATGTGCTGATTTAGTAATTAAACTACCTTGTAAGCCCGCTGTAAACCACTGTATTAAACAAGCAAGAGGAGAACTCAGTCAAAGCACCCTTTTCTGCCATCTGTCTGTTAAGCACAATTCCATTGATATAACAATACATCTAATTATAATTATTATAATTCACGCCATTTAGCAGACGCCATTATCCAAAGCAACTTACAGTCATGCTGCACACATTTTACATATGGGTGGCCCTAGCGGGATTCGAACCCACTATCCTGGCGTTGCAAGTGCCATGTTCTAACGACTGAGAAATGGCTTCTTCATCATGGCCCTGGTCCACAGAGTCAGTAGACTGAGAAATGGCTTCTTCATCATGGCCCTGGTCCACAGAGTCAGTAGACTGAGAAATGGCTTCTTCATCAAATCAAAATGTATTGATCACATACACATATTTACATTTTAGTCATTTAGCAGACGCTCTTATCCAGAGCGACTTACAGTTAGTGAGTGCATACATTATTTTATACTGGCCCCCCGTGGGAATCGAACCCACAACCCTGGTGTTGCAAACGCCATGCTCTACCAACTGAGCTACATCCCATTTAGCAGATGTTATTGCGGGTGTAGCAAAATGCTTGTGTTCCTTGCTCCAACAATAGAGTAATATCTAACAATTCACAAATCTAAAAGTAAAAGAATGGAATTAAGAAATATATATACAGTGGGGTAAAAAAGTATTTAGTCAGCCACCAATTGTGCAAGTTGTCCCACTTAAAAAGATGAGAGAGGCCTGTAATTTTCATCATAGGTACACGTCAACTATGACAGACAAATTGAGAATTTTTTTCTCCAGAAAATCACATTGTAGGATTTTTAATGAATTTATTTGCAAATTATGGTGGAAAATAAGTATTTGGTCACCTACAAACAAGCAAGATTTCTGGCTCTCACAGACCTGTAACTTATTCTTTAAGAGGCTCCTCTGTCCTCCACTCATTACCTGTATTAATGGCACCTGTTTGAACTTGTTATCAGTATAAAAGACACCTGTCCACAACCTCAAACAGTCACACTCCAAACTCCACTATGGCCAAGACCAAAGAGCTGTCAAAGGACACCAGAAACAAAATTGTAGACCTGCACCAGGCTGGGAAGACTGAATCTGCAATAGGTAAGCAGCTTGGTTTGAAGAAATCAACTGTGGGAGCAATTATTAGGAAATGGAAGACATACAAGACCACTGATAATCTCCCTCGATCTGGGGCTCCACGCAAGATCTCACCCCGTGGGGTCAAAATGATCACAAGAACGGTGAGCAAAAATCCCAGAACCACACGGGGGGACCTAGTGAATGACCTGCAGAGAGCTGGGACCAAAGTAACAAAGCCTACCATCAGTAACACACTACGCCGCCAGGGACTCAAATCCTGCAGTGCCAGACGTGTCCCCCTGCTTAAGCCAGTACATGTCCAGGCCCGTCTGAAGTTTGCTAGAGTGCATTTGGATGATCCAGAAGAGGATTGGGAGAATTTAATCTGACCATATGACACCAAAATAGAACCTTTTGGTAAAAACTCAACTCGTCGTGTTTGGAGGACAAAGAATGCTGTGTTGCATCCAAAGAACACCATACCTACTGTGAAGCATGGGGGTGGAAACATCATGCTTTGGGGCTGTTTTTCTGCAAAGGGACCAGGACTACTGATCCGTGTAAAGGAAAGAATTAATGGGGTCATGTATCGTGAGATTTTGAGTGAAAACCTCCTTCCATCAGCAAGAGCATTGAAGATGAAACGTGGCTAGGTCTTTCAGCATGACAATGATCCCAAACACACCGCCCGGGCAACGAAGGAGTGGCTTCGTAAGAAGCATTTCAAGGTCCTGGAGTGGCCTAGCCAGTCTACAGATCTCAACCCCATAGAAAATCTTTGGAGGGAGTTGAAAGTCCGTGTTGCCCAGCGACAGCCCCAAAACATCACTGCTCTAGAGGAGATTTGCATGGAGGAATGGGCCAAAATACCAGCAACAGTGTGTGAAAACCTTGTGAAGACTTACAGAAAACGTTTGACCTGTGTCATTGCCAACAAAGGGTATATAACAAAGTATTGAGAAACTTTTGTTATTGACCAAACACTTATTTTCCACCATAATTTGCAAATAAATTCATTAAAAATCCTACAATGTGATTTTCTGGATTTTTTTTCCTCATTTTGTCTGTCATAGTTGACGTGTACCTATGATGAGAATTACAGGCCTCTCTCATCTTTTTAAGTGGGAGAACTTGCACAATTGGTGGCTGACTAAATACTTTTTTCCCCCACTGTATATCATCATGGCCCTGGTCCACAGAGAGTCAGTATACTGAGTAATGGCTTCTTCATCATGGCCCTGGTCGGCAGAGAGTCAGTATACTGAGAAATACATTTACATTTTAGTCATTTAGCAGACGCTCTTATCCAGAGCGACTTACAGTTGGTGAATATTTTTTTTATTTTTATACTGGCCCCCCGTGGGAATCGAACCCACAACCCTGGCGTTGCAAACGCCATGCTCTATCAACTGAGCTACATCCCTGCCGGCCATTCCCTCCCCTACCCTGGACGACGCTGGGCCAATTGTGCGCCGCCCATGAGTCTCCCGGTCGCGGCCGGCTGCGACAGAGCCTGGATTCGAACCAGGATCTAGTGGCACAGTTAGCACTGCGATGCAGTGCCTTAGACCACTGCGCCACTCAGGAGTCTAATGGCTTCTTCATCATGGCCCTGGTCCGCAGAGAGTCAGTATACTGAGTAATGGCTTCTTCATCATGGCCCTGGTCCGCAGAGAGTCAGTATACTGAGTAATGGCTTCTTCATCATGGCCCTGGTCGGCAGAGAGTCAGTATACTGAGTAATGGCTTCTTCATCATGGCCCTGGTCCGCAGAGAGTCAGTATACTGAGTAATATCTCCTTCATCATGGCCCTGGTCCGCAGAGAGTCAGTATACGCTGCTAGAACATGTCATAAGGAGGGGGTCCTTCATGCTTTCCAAGGGCCAATTCCTAACTCGAGATTTGTGCTTGAGGTTTGCACCAAAGCCTGTGGCGTATCAGATGATGAAGCCAGACCACTGAGTGCCCTTCCATTGACCAGACACTAAGAAGACCAATGTACACAAACACATGTAGGCCTAGTCTACACACACAATCACTCTGGATATATGCGTGTGTGTCTGTGTACAGTACACACTAGCATGTGGAATGTTCTAGACCTAGGGAATATGGTTTTCCATTGTAAAGGGCAGGCATAATATGCTGGGGATGCAGGCCTGACTGAGTGGTTGACTTCCTCCACTGGCTCCACAACAGGGGGCTCAACACTGGCGATTAGGCTCCGTAAACGGGCCTCCAGATGGGCAAGCCCAGAATCATGTGAGTTACATTTTTTTTTTTTAACTAAAAAGGAACTGCAGCTAATGAATTGGAACAAACTGCATTTTTAACTGGGTGGCCGGGGAGGGCTAGGGTTTTCCTTTCTGCTTCCACAGTCTTCAACTCCAAGGCACTTGCTTTCAGAAGCCATTGTGTTCAGTTCAGGGACCTGCGCAGTGGCACTGTACCTTCAATGTCTTTAGGAGCTTGGTTTACAATGCAGGCCCGCCATTGAGCCAAAACCATCCAAATCCCACACATATCTAGGAGATACATATTCATATTGGCTGCTGCCAAATGTAACCTAATTTCGCCTAGGCAAATGGACAGCAGCGCTGCATAAGGAGGTCAAACCAACAAATCACCACAATGGAGTTTATAAGGGGGAGGGGCCCTGCTGAAGTGCAGGAGACAGATTGACAGATGGTAGCCACACTCTGTGGTGTAGCTACTTCAACATAACAACAACAACAACAACTGCACCTTCTCTGTGTCCATTATGTCAGTAGGCTTCAAAGTATGGCAGTTCAGTTGTAGATATCTCAACGCAGTGAGGGGAAGTAGACCTACATCACCAAGTAACGTTACAGTAGGCTGAAGTCCCTATACGCATCCATTGAACAAAGCGTACACAGAATTCGTACTGGATGGGCTGCTAACATAGACCGCTGCTACATGTAGGCTGAAGTCCAAAGAGAGAGACAATAGGGTCAAAGTCTGGTAACAGAAATGTGTAAACCATTACACCAAGGTCACGGGGAAGGCGTAACGCTAATACCTTCTGTCTGGAATGTGACTGTTTTTGATAAACAAACTAGCTGCCAAGGAGCGTGTGTTGGTGCTGTAGGGCCAGTGTAGAGCAGACCTAACTACCGAACTCTTTCAAACTCAAGGCTGAAGGCTAATGGCATACAATAGGAGTACGGGCACCTAGCTAACTAGATCAATCAATTGACAGTTATCGAAAGGGACTACGAGGAACTTACTTTTAGTAAGTCACTGCCAAATGCACTCCTTTACAGAGCTGTGAACCAAATGGCCATAACACATGACATATGCCTGGTAGAAAGTTAGTAAAGCTGGCACAATAAAAAGGTTATACATTGTTGCAAATAAATCAATGGTTAGCTACCTTCGCAAAGTAGGCGAAATTCCTTTGTGATGTCCACTTTTCTTTTTATGTTGCCGAGTTTTCTTCAACTTAAATTCAGGCCAGTTCGTCCAACTAACGCAACGGTACAATTGTATGAATAATCCAAGCCAGTCAAAACATTAAATCCATCGACATGGTGAAAACCATCCAGGCTGAAAGGTCCCCGACCGCGAACAAGAAAGGAATTCCAAAGGCCGCACTGCCAGACTCACATCAGAGGGCAATACTCCAAACCTAGCTAGCTAGTTAACTAACGGTAGTTACTTCTGCATTACACAAGATAAAAGTGGGTCAAACTGATTATTAGTATTTGCACATATAATACACATGCAGTTATTAACTCATTCTAACCTTTGTAT